TTCTTGTTTCTTTTCTTTTTCCTCCAACCACTGCTGTAATCTCTCTTCTTGTTTATTTTCTCGTTCTTCTTGTTTCTTTTCTTTTTCCTCCAACCACTGCTGTAATCTCTCTTCTTGTTTATTTTCTCGTTCTTCTTGTTTCTTTTGCTGTTTTTGTATTGCTGCCATCAAATTGGCTAAGCTGTAGTTTGATTTTCCACCTCTCGTTTCCATCTTTTTCTTCTTTTCTTTTTTTATTTTCTATCTCACTCCTGACACCAATTTGTTACGTCTCCGTTCGTTAGTTAATTTTCCGTAAAAATTCTTACCGAAGAAACTTTACCGATACAAGTCCTTTCTTAAATAAAACTGGTTTATTCTTTCTGAAGACAACTTTGCAATACACTTAATTTCAACAGTCGCGGTAAAACAAACGCTATAACACAGAACGAACGTCTCACGTGCCCAACAATATTCTCTCTCTGTCCGCAGTTCAATTACTCATTCATTACCTCACATTCAGTTCGTACGGGTTTATATATACAATACTACGACTTATCTAGTAGGTTCTCGACAATTAAGGAAGGGACGTGAACGTTCGAGAAGGACGTGGCGTGATACTAGTCACGTGACCTCCGCTGTCGCAACAATAGTAAAGGTCTTTTCAAAAAATAAATGTAAGCAAAATATTAGGATGGGAGTAGGGCCTTTGAAGGATGACACTGGAAGGCTAATATCTGATGATTATGGGATTGCTAGGTTATTAAATTCTTCTTTTTTTCAGTTTTACTAATGAAGATATAACTGATGTTCCTGCACTTGAACGGTTACTAGATGGAAACATTATTTTTCAGTTTGTTGCAAAATAATTGGAAACGTTAAAGAATGATAAAGCACCTGGGTCAGAAAATACTTACCCAGGGGTTTTGAAAGAGGTTAAGGATTGGATATATATATATGAGCCACTTGCTACTATTTTTTGCAAGTCCTTAAATAATGGGCACGTGCCAGAGAATTGAAAGTCTAATGTTAATCCTCTTTTAAGGAAGGAGATAAAGATAGTCCCAGTAGTTATAGACCTAATAGTCTTATATCAGTGATGGGAAAACTTTTTGAAAGTCCGATAAAAGAAGCTCTGAAAAGCCATTTAACAAAGTTTAAACTTTTGGTGGATAGTTAACATGGTTTCACTAGGAAAAAGTCTTGCCTTAGTAATCTTTTGAGATTACTTGAAGAGGTTACTGCTTTCATAAGTGAGAGTCAGGCCTGTAAACTTTCCCGATTTTGGCAGGAGTTTCCCAATATGAAGTCCTGTTTCCCAATCTCTCAACATGTGACCAGGATCTCCTGATATCAACCTTTTTAATAATTAAACAAAAAAGAATAGAGTCCCAAAATTCAACTTCCCAGAGTGTCAACCTGGATAAAGTAAATATTTACTCATTTTGTGTTATACTTTTATTGTGTTATACTGTCTGCTTCTTGTACCACATTCCAATGCATTGAGTGAAAGGGCATTTTGAATGGTGAGAAAGATCATAACAGAGAACAGGACTGATTTAAAGCATAACACAGTATGCGCTCTTTTAAACTGCAAGTTTAACTTCGATTCCTCTGCCAGTAAATACAAGCCCAGCAAGCAGGTATTGAAAGATGCCAAAAGTGCAACATGCAAATATAACAAAGATTATTAATCAGGTATATGTTTTGTTATGTCTCCATTCATTAGTTAATTTTCCGTAAATTCGTTCCGACGAAACTTTAGCGACACAAGTCCTTTCTTAAATAAACCTGGTTTATTCTTTCTGAATATAATTTTGCGATACACTTAATCTCAACAGTCGCGCTATAATTCTCAACGACCGTCTCACGTGCTCGACTTAACAATACTCAGATCCATTACACATTGTTGCCGTCACTTTGTGACCATCTTATATATACAAGACTACACTATATCTAGAAGGATCCCGAGATTTAAAGAAGGGAGTGAATGTTCGA